ATTTACCAACGTCATTTACAAAATAACAAGCCGTCTCCAACCATTATTAGTCTCAAAGTGGGTTCCTCGTCATCGCAAATGACCTAGAATTTTCGAGAAGACGTACCAGCACATGTTGATCCTAGACTACCGATTGAAGATGATGATCTGGGGATGACAGATACACCCTCTGTTCCTGAACCTGTAACACGTATTTCATAGATTGAACCCAACAACTTCAAATCGGTTGAAATAAACAAAAATATTAATTATTTTCTACAAATTCTTTTCAGAATATTATTTTTGTAGCACAGCCTTAACCACACCTACATATTTTGAAAATGTGTTAAAACAAATCAATTAGCCTAACTTCAACTGCAGCCTTTAAACAAGTACTTAAACTCAATAAATTATGAAGTATTTAATGAATTTACCCAAAGGACATCACTATTTTGGGTTTAACATCAACCTAATAATGGCACCAGCAGTTTCACTGTGATTGGGTGGAAAAGTACTCTTCTGTTGTTGAGATCTGTAACTACAACATAGGAGCAGTTTTTGGACAGTATTTTAGTGTTGTTTTTTTTCGATTAGTAAGCTCACACTTCCTTAACAGTTACCAATTTTTAATTTTATGAAACTTTCTCAAGTCTCTTTCAGCACATACATATTTAGGAGCTTCCAGTCCCTGTATATAATTTTATTGTGTTGAGTATAATGCCCTAAACTAACACTTCATGTGTTTTGACCAAGAGATAATGCCCTAAACTAACACTTCACGTGCTATGACCAAGAGCTAATGCCGTAAACTAACACTTCATGTGCTATGACCAAGAGCTAATGCCATAAACTAACACTTCATATGCTATGACTGAGAGATAATGCCCTAAACTAACACTTCATATGCTATGACTGAGAGATAATGCCCTAAACTAACACTTCATATGCTATGACTGAGAGATAATGCCCTAAACTAACACTTCATGTGCTATGACCAAGGTAATGCCCTAAACTAACACTTCATGTGCTATGACCAAGAGGTAATGCCGTAAACTAACATTTCATATGCTATGACCAAGAGATAATGCCGTAAACTTACACTTCATGTGCTATGACCAAGAGGTAATGCCCTAAACTAACACTTCATGTGCTATGACCAAGAGGTAATGCCCTAAACTTACACTTCATATGCTACGACCAAGAGGTAATGCCCTAAACTAACACTTCATGTGCTATGACCAAGAGGTAATGCCCTAAACTTACACTTCATGTGCTATGACCAAGAGGTAATGCCCTAAACTTACACTTCATGTGCTATGACCAAGAGGTAATGCCCTAAACTTACACTTCATATGCTATGACCAAGAGGTAATGCCCTAAACTTACACTT